ATGAAAAAATGCACAAAGCATAAAATTTTATTGATAAAACCTTTGTGCTATTAAAAAAAAAAAAAAAAAATATGTATTTTAAACCTTAGGTATTGCTTTTTGTATTGGAGGTCCCCTAAATTTATATAATTGAGAAAAAGGCATTTTCTGTTGGTATTATAAACATTACGAAAGAATTTATATATGGGAAATACAAATTTGTATAGATTCCTTCACTGAAGAAGGTTTTACCACACTAATCAAGTATTATGTATGTACTGATCAAATTTTGGTATATAAAAATTTTAGTGCACTAATCAAAAATGCATTAATCGAGGGATGCCTGTATAAAAAAGACACAGAGGCAACCCTACAGTGGTGAAAAAGTGACTGAAGCTGCCAGATCATGGCCGATAGTACTGCTGATACTTCTTTGGATTTTATCAAGGAGTTCAAGGTAAATAGCAGGGGCACCGGGCCATATGTGGCAGCAATATTCTAAATATTGATGAATGGTAGACTTGTAGATATGTAAGATAAATTCTGGCGAGAAAAATTGTCTTGCACAACACAGAAAATCAACTTTCTTAGCAGATGATCTAGCAATGGATTCAATATAGTCCTTCCACTTCATGTCAGCTGAAAACTTTAGCCCAAGAAGTCAAACAAGTCACTTTCCTGGAAGGGTCTCTCAGACGATTAATGGATAGAATTTTAGTTTTTGAAGCATTAATATTAACAAAACATCTTTTGCTCCAGTTAATGATGGACTGGATACATTTTTCACTTTCAGAAATACATTGTACATAACCTCAAGAAAAACAAGATATTGTAAAGTGATGGTAATACAATGTTGGAAATTGTGAAAAGTTTACAAGAGATCATAAAAGAATGGAAAGAGAAAAAAACAGTTAAAAAAAAAAAAAAAAACGATACTAAACACTTGAAATCATATGGGGAAAAACTTCCAATGCCTAAAATCTTAAACTTATGATGAAAGTGAGGAAAATAGAACAAACAAAACTAGAAATGTAAAGTAAACCCCTGTAGAAAGAGTTGACACAAGAATGGACTTAAAACAGTATGGTCCATTGTTTATTTCTCAAAAATGTTGCAAGCAATGATACAGAATTTGTATCCAGGTGTCAGATTGCTTCTTTTCTAACAAACACAAAGGATAATTAACCAAGAAGAGATATTCCTAGACATGGACAGTGAAATGAGAAGTCTGTTCCACCTGATGAAGGTTGCCTATATTGAGAGACACCTGAAGAAGGTGAGAGGACACAACAGCTGAAAAGTTGTGATAGTAAGAATGATGAGGACATCAGTCCAACTATAAATAATGATAACTTCACATTACAGAAAATCAGAGAAAAAGTGCAAAATAGTAAGGCATTGACTAAAAATGTGAGAGCTACCAAATTACAACCATTGAGTAAATATCACATAGAGAAATGTCTACATTAGCTGAAGAAATACATGAAAATGGATTTCTCAACAATTACTATTGACAAATGTACAGCTACAATGGATAGAGCTGATAGGTGGACTAAAAGTCGGGTTTGTCATAAAAAAATAGTTAACCAATTAGGAAGGTGGAATAAGGTTTTTGGATAGTATTGTAAGCAGCAAAATTATAGGTCACTTCAAAGTTGATAATGGTGCCATAATAATAATAATAATTGTAAGGTCTTGGATAAGACACTTTTTTCTTCCAACTAGTACAAAAAAGCTTTCAGCTAAAGAATATATTCATGTAAGACAATGCACCTTCAGATTCTACAAAGCTGACTACCTTGCCAAAAAAATTTCAAAGGTACCAAATTAATGAAATAGTTGCCAGCCTCTCTAGATATCAATCCAATTGAATATGGAAAACAATATTCAAACAGAAGATCTCTGGGAAGCAATAGAAATTGCTACAAGTAATGATAAAATAGAAACAGTAACAAAGTTAACAAAATAGATGAAGGTTATAGAATGTCAACATGGTCACTTCAATGTCATGCAATGGTTAACAAGCTTGTCATGGTAGATCAATTACACCTCAGTAGTGAATTTAATCCTCACTGGGTGCTCCATATTTGCAACCTAGTGCCAAATTTAAGCTACACTTAGCAAATTGGTATAAAATGTCAACAAATCCATATTACTACATAAATTAACAAATAATAGTTTTAGATATATGGAGTAGTGTGTAGAATATCTTTCTCTGACCAATATCTTTTGGGTTAATTTATAAATCAAAATTAATGCTGCACTTTGCATAATAAAGCCAGATATACTCAAAACATGTTATCAATATTTTTGATAAGGATAAATATCATCAAAGCTTAAAATCAAACAATTTTTATTCTGAAAATTTGACCATCAGTGTGTAAACAGTGACTTACATCATAAAATCTAAGATTATAAGGTAAACAATATAGGCAAAATACCAAAACGTTTATATTGACAGGTGTTTTTACAAAAATTACTTTATGGGCTGAAAGCTTGTTTGATAATCACTTAAAGGATACCAAAATTTCTTTGAAGATGAGCTGTTTGACATCAACAGCAATAAAGTAAATCTTAAATATCAAAACTATAATTTTATTATTATATCTGTCTATATTTCTGAGATGAGATATTGCAACTATTTACATTTTCCGGAATGTTGTCCTAATCTTTGTCACGTTTCAGCCATTGTACATGCTTGCCTTTTTCAGGTGACAGGAATTTCGAACTAAACCCTTTATTTCATCCACTGAGGTAGATTTTTCTCGTTCCACATGCCATGCCTTGTCTGGATATCTCAGTATCAGTTATTTCCCTTTAACACAACTCTCCAAGTTTTTAAACTCACAACTCTGGATCAAGTCACTGGATTACTTCGACCAATGCGCCATGTGTCCTCAAGGACAAAATGTTGTGAATATGGAAACAAAGATGAGGTCAACAGTCTAAACAATGTAAATAGTGCAAATAATTTATTATTATAGGCTATCATAGAAGAAAAATTGTATTTCTCTAAATTTATTATAAAACTACTGAAATCTACCAGACACAAGTTATTCTTACAATCCTCCAAAACATATCTGGCCAATTCTGAATTGTAAAATAAAAGTAAAAATGTCCAGGAAAAAAAAAACAGAAAACCTTGGATTCATGTTTTAACAGATTGCAACAGCTATTTGGGAAATGTCATTAAATATACTTTAAGGTTTAAAAAAAAAATTTATTCATTATTATTATTATTGTTGTTTAGGTAATAAGCTTTATAACAGCACAAATAGCTATATTGTGGAAAAAAGAATTTGACAAGATAACCATAAATACATAAAAAATGTGTATTTTTTTAAAACTTTTATCAAAAACGACATTCTTGTACATGTAGTTATGGATAATATTATGTATTAATTACTATTTTTACTCAGTTGTTAACATTAATAGCTATCTACTAAAATTTTAAAAATTTTGGAATAATGCAATAATAATTTAAAAATTTCATCTCTGATAGATGTTGCGATCTATAAATGCAGTTATTGTATTTTTTTTACACAAGGAATTTAAAACCTATCAGAACAGAAGTTCACACCTTTGTATAAACTGATAAAGTTCATTATAATTCAAATCATTTTGTTTCTGTCATTTGATTTGACAAACATGTCACACCATATTTCTTCCTTACTAATTTTTTTTCTATATGGAGCTTTCACCCCTTTTCCCTTTCCTATCTGCAGAATTGTCAATTGTTTGTGGGCAGCTACTATTTAGACAGGATTTATGTGTTGTAGCAAGGGGAGACAAAACATGCATGTCCCTCATTAGGAGTTCTAAATCTTATTTACAATTAGGAATTAACTAGTCAGATTTTAAATTAATTCTACTTGGTCATGGAATTTGGAAGACATCAGTCAAAACGGTTTTTCTGTGGCAATTTGTAAGCAACTGTAAAATCAGAGTGTAACTAATAAATATGGTTAGATAAATAAATATTAACAGTTGTACAGAAAATTTATTGTCTGCTCTTTTTTATCAATATATTAAGGGATTGGTTTTATAATTAGAAGTCCTGATGGAGATTAGTGAAAGATGTTTGAAAATTGTCTTCATACAATAGAAAAAAGACAAGCATTCCATCTGAAAAACAACAGATGCTAATTAAGTACTAACAAAGACAAAGAAGTTGTGTACTTTTTTTTGTGTCAAAGGGCAAAGATTCAATAAACTGTCCATCAAGGAAGCAAGCTTTATCTCTCATTGTGGAGTGAGTAGCTATGGTTAAATGCAAAATAAGTGACAGACCTGCCCCAAAAACAGAATTGACAAAGTTTGCAATAAGCAATAACAAAAAAAAAAAAAACAAAACAAAAAAAACCACACACACAAAAAACATGGCAAAAAAAATTATAAAGCAAGCAAACAATATATGCAAGGCAAATTAACAGTATTAAGGCAAAGCAACATTAATATGACAAAATGTTCACAAATTAAGGATTGGGGTTGACACACAAAAACAAGTTTGGACAAGCAAATGTAGGGTTCTGACTTCAAGACAAGTTGAAGGTTAATACATATTTGATTCAATGTTTAACATTCTTTCCTTCATGAAATAACAAAAAAGAGATTTAAGTTATATTTTTTCTAAATCTTTTACTTTAAAAAGATAATTTTAAAAATTGAGATTTAAAACATTTTTTAAATAAATCATTTGCAATTTAAATCAATAATTTAAATCAAACCCTGCAGTTGGCAATAAGATTTGAAATATTTCTCAACATGACATGTTTATAATTTAATTTCAGTAGAGGAAAAAAAGTTACAACTCCGGTGCACAATATTCTTTTGCCCTGTCCTTTTCTCAGCTATATATCTACATTTTGATAAACATATTTTATAAACACTTTCCCTTTCTTAAAATTAGAAATTCTATAATATATCTAGACATATGACCCATCAGACCCATCACCCGAGAATTCAATATTCCCTGAAACAAGAAAGAGAGAGAGAGAAAAAAAAAATGTTATTTAACTTACCTATTTCATAATTTAACTTTTTCTCATCTCTGTTACCCTCAGGTTCAACAACTTTCAGCCAAGGCAGGAAAAGTCTCAGATCACAAAGTCTTCGGGTTTCATCAAAGAATTCTTCCCGTTCAGCCTCTTGAGTAATGCTCACAAAAATATAACATGTTGGATTAAGGAGTTTTGTATGGAATGGGAATTTTTTAGCCTCGGCCCAGAGGTCTGTTTTTATACTTTCTAAGGTAGCATTACGGTTGCACCTTAGTGGCACAAGAATTCCAGTAGGGAGAAAACAATCCACGTCGACCTGCGACGGCATCAAATGTAGGCCCCATAGTTCTCCTGAGCTGGGTGGCATCTTGGTCCAACATTAGCTGTAACTGGAAAGAAATTTATTAGCAATATCAATTATCCGTACTAACTTTTTGTCATAATTACACTTTTAAGAACTGATATTATCAATAGCAAATAAAACTCATGGTAATCAGCATAAAATAAACTATTAGTTAAATGGTGTAAAATCAATAACACGAATGTATATGTTTATTACAATTAAACATGATTCCAATGGGTAATGGTGGACTATAAAGCAAATAAATGCTGAAAACATGGGACTGTTCTTGTAGTGCAGGATCCACAAAATGTTGGTGATGAATAACAACATCATGAGAATATATCCCGTGGTTGATTTCATCATTTCCAGCTTTAAGAAAACCATCTAAAACAATAAGGCTTTCAGAGTCTCTACTCGCTGGTCTAGCACCTCAAATAAGAAACTTTCCACAAACAGCTGCTCAATACCACTGATTACCCAATGGCCAGAGCACCATAGGCCAGAGTGATATTTACAATGAAAAAAAAAAATTTAAATATATAAAAAGACAGTTTATTTTACAACATTTAAGCAAAGCAGAACTTTCACAGATTATTTTATGCTACTTATGTGAAGGGTTACCAAACTTAGACCAATTTACAAAAAATATATCAATACAAGATTTGTTTGAAACAGCGAAATCATTTTTTTATGCTGCTTATATTCTTACACATTTCAGTTGATCTATTCTACAGCATTCTTCAAGTGTATAATAAATAAGCAAAGAAATAAAGGGTGGTTTTATTTTAGCTAATATACCAACTGGTTCAATTCATTTTATCATTGAGACACATGTGAATCATTTCCTTGCTTTGTAGCAGTTTGATTTTAATTTATACATGGTGGGAATCCCAATTCTTTCCCAGCTAAATAAAGAATCACATTCCTTTTGAACACAAAAGATGAATTCTTCTGATGTTATTAATGTTCCTCAATTATTTCAGCATTCAAGATCACAACTGACAATTTTACCCAGTAGTAAAGGAAATGAAACAAACAATTTAACAGAAAAGAATTTTTAGAGTATTATTTCATATTTAAATTTCTTTCTCTCTCTCTCTCTCACACACACACACATACACACACAATATCCATCATCTGTTTCTAGTAGTATGCTACCCAAAAAAGGAAGTTTGGTATTGTCCTTCTCCACTGTGAATAGAAGGACTACTATATATACTTGTGTATAAGCCAACTTCATTTATAGTGTGCAATTCCTGAAGGTTTTTTTGCAAGTATTTTAACCCCTCCAGAAAAAATTTACCTGTGTATAGTGCAACTAGTCATTAAAAATGCAGGATTTTAACCTTTTCAAAAAAAAAAAAAAAAAAAAAAATTATGTATATATAATGCAACCTCCTATTTTTTTTATGCAAAAACTGATCATAAAAACTTGTGCTATACTCAAGTATATACGATAATTGAGATCAGATGATTCCATAAGAACTGTACACCTACCAACCTGAATAAGAAAAACAACATTATTCCATATATCAAAGTTAAATTGAAGAAAAGTGGTACAGAATGAAAGAAATTGAAATAACCTGAGAGATAAAACCTCTATGAAGTCCTTAAAGGAGATGCTGATATAAGTTTTAAAATAAGAGTTAGAGATGGGCGGTTTAACCAAAAAAACAACTTTTTTTTGGTTTCTTCTTCACACTGTGAAACCGCATCAAATTTTTTTTTTACAAAAAAACCAAAATCATTTGATTTTTTTTTTTTTTTTCCACTACTGGGTGAAAGTTTTATCAACATTTATACCATTATAAGAGAAAAAGATTGATCAAAAATATGTGAAAACATTTAATTGACTAATTTTTTTTTAGAAAATAAATGTGAAATCTATTTGTTTACAAAAGAAATGAAGAAAAATAAAAATAAAAGGAAATATACAACATGCCTGAAATCTATTTGTTTGTTTGTTTCAGTTTAAAAAAAAAAAAAAAAAAAAAAAAAAGTTTTCAGTTTCGATTTTTTTTTGTAAGGGTAATAATTGTTTTCTCCAGTAAGCCAATATGCCAATCACAAAATAAAGTTGTAAAAAAAAAAAAAAAGTGTAAACTAAACAAGAAAAATGAATTTTTTTTTTTTTTATAAATAAATTTATTATATCTCTATTATAAAAAATTGTTTTCTACAAATTTCTGGAGAGCTATACAGTTTTCTCTCTCAAAAATGTGTTGTCCAAAGACAAATAAAAATATTTTATGCTACGATTTCTTTCGTAATTTACCAATTTGCTAATAATATGGTAGTTATTTATAGTTGAAAACTTATTCAAAATTTTAATAAACTTTAATCTAAGTCATGAATTCTATGACTAAATTACCTCTAAAGCCTAAAACTGACTGTGAACAATCCCTACAGATATCGACTGGAAATACTATCATTACACAAGAAAACGAATGGCTTCCTTAGAAAGCAAAAATACTGAATTAAAAACCAAATTGAAAACCTCAATATCAAGGAAAAAAAAAAAAAAAAAAAAACATGGAATCCAATACTGAAACAAATTACCAAACCAACCAACTCTAACAAGAGTCATTTTTCAGTTTGCTGTGGAAAATTAAAAACGCTTTCTCCATTGGTTCTTTATTAAAAAGCACCTACAATAAAGTTGACCATAAGACTATCTTAATCAGTTCCAAACATTAAATGATGTCTTTTATACTATCAGCCAAAAATTAGCTACAAAACATATGCTGAGCCAAGTATGTTAACTTTGGACATTAATGGGATATTTATCTGGTCTATGTTAAAAAGGATAGATATATAGGGTAGTTTGCTGTGGTTTTCTATCATCTATCATTTTCTTTACTTTATATTTAAAAAAAAAAAAAAAAAAAGAAAAAAAAGTGATTCTTCCCCTCACAGACAAAATGTTTATCGTTCTATAATTACCAAACAATTATATTTATCACTTTCATTTTGTCTGCTGGCACCATTTATGATAATTTGGTCTCCAGCGATTTTTGATTGAAAATGGTATTAGATTCTCCAAAACTTGTCTTACCTTTCATCTTAATTTGTGTGATGTTTTGTGGCCACAAACCCAAATACCACTTCAGAAGCAATAAATTGTTGACAGTCACCTCTTAATTGGTTCATTATTTTTGGTTTTATAACAAGCAGTTTTTCAATTGTTTTATTTTTTGTTTTTCAAAAAACAAAATGACTTTTCAAAACTTTTCTAATGTTATAGTGATTCTTATTTCATTATTGTCATATTATTAAAGAGTTTTCCTTCTTCAGAGGATCTCTGAAAATGCTCTTTTAATGGCAAGTTGTTGTTTAAGGTGTTTCTCACTAGGGGGTGTCTTGTTGCAGTTAGGCCCAGTGTTTTCAGGTGTGAATATTCATTTTCTCTCTATGATTAAATCCATATGGAGTGTAAATATACTGTTTATAAATAAGAATTATTATTGCAAAATTTGGCCAGACAAGTGGACCTATTCTTTATTTAACCAACGATTTCCCCCTTTTTTTAGCCAATCCATTTTACAGCTTTCAAGTGTTTAAATCTACACGTAAAAAGCTAATTTTTTGCATGGGTGAAAAAAAAAGAAAAAAAAAAAAAGGCTATATAAGTGAAAAGCAAAAATAGCAAAATGCTGTTCAAAGACAGGTAAATCAACTATCGATGGCAATAAATAAAATTACAAGTATCAGATTATATTTTTCTGATTGATACCAAAATAATTTATTTTTAAATACCAATAAGAAAAATATAGAAACCAGGATATTTTCTCTTCCTTACAAATCCATATATTGGAGGAATTTCCAACACAGATCAAAAACATTGAAATATGAAGACAAGATTAGAAGCTGTGCAGTCATGATGTCAGGAAGTCAAGAACAATCTATTATTATGAATAATAATATTTTGCTCATATTAGTTCAATATGTCATTAACTCTCAGGATAATGTGTTGAGAAGATATAGATTAAAATTCAGTTAAAGTTAAAAATTCTATAATTGAATATTGTAATGATTAGGACAAGATTTATATAGTCGGTTTTGGGAAGGAAATTTAATCAAGCTGAAACAAAATGTCTTACTGACATATTTATGCCCCCAGTACAAGCCAATGGAAAAGACTAAACAAATCAGAATTTTTTTTGTGTACCAACCATTGTCTGTTCCTTTATGAGTCTGTCAGTAGCATGGGAACCCACTTTGTACAGACCTTTGAGTAGCCAAGAGACTACAGCAAACTGCAAAATCATGAAGACATTCACAGTTTTACAATGATTCTTCTATCAGCTTTAATCAAAGAACAAACTTGTTTGGCTTTATCTGAATTCACAATAGTAATCTCTAGAATTATCATTAACCCACCTTACTGTGCTTACATCAATTGTAGCCTTTCCATAAACCTTCACTGGCAAACATGGCCCTTCGTACTCATAAAACTGTCAAAAGAACTTTTTTTTTGTTTTTTTATCTACCTTCACTCTTCAGTGATGTTTACCATTTTAAAAAGCAATGATTAGAATTGTAATAAAACCTAGACATATGAAAGTGAATTTGAACATGTTCTTTGTTCTTGAGAATTGACAACAAAAATAATAACCATTTAGATTATTTACCCTATTTATATTATGGTTGCCAAAACCTTGGTTAATTGCCCTTTGATTTAAATTTTATAAAATGGTAAATAATTATTTCCTTATAGTTGGTTCACATAATTTAGTAAATGTTTATACATTTATGAATAAAAAATTGTTTTCATATTTATATCTTTATAAATTGGTAAATGATAAATATTGCATTAGTTCTAATTGTACTAGTTTTTAGAATGTTGTAAATAAGCAATCTAATAAATAAATAGTGTTTAATATTTTGGTTGTCAATTCTCAAGAACAAAAAAAAAAAAAAAAAATGTGTAAATTCACTTTCATCATGTTTAGGTTTTATTCCAGTTCTAAATTGTTTTTTTTTTAAAACATTTGCTGAAAAGTGAAGTTAGTTAAAAATGCAAT